GGTCAGGTATCCAGTTTTGTCTGTTATCTGATGCATTTGTTCAGTGTTGTGCAGTGGTTCTTCTCGAGATAGTAATCTCAGATTTTTAGCAGAGATTGTTGGTAGAAACTTCACCTTTCTTCAGTGGATTATAGGTTCGGAGTCCGGAATCTTTCAGTACGGTTATCTAGTCGAATTTTTCACCTTTTGGTTTGGCTCGTAAGCGTAGCGAAATTTGTCATTTTCTGGTTACCGTTTTCTTATTATCCTACCCTTTTTTTGATAACCATTCTTTGATCGTGTAAGATCTCTAGATAGGGTGTTTTCATGCGTTCGACTTTACCACTTTCGTGATAGATGATGTATTTTATAGATTTTATAATCTGATTTCCACGATGCTTATATTGAAGTTAGTTCTTTGAACAAAAATTTGTCTATCTATGTCAAAAATTGTCCAGAGTTATCCTTTGTTTTTCGTTGTAAAACAGTTGTATGCTTTAATTCAGCCCGTTGAATAATTTGACATTATTTTATTTTAAGATTCAGTTCCGGGCCACGTTCCTCAGATATTCATTAACCGTGAACCACTGGATCACATGAAGTTCGATGTTGAGTTATACGGCAATTGCGATGACGTGGTCAATGAACTGTGCGCTCGACTCGGCGGAAGCTTCGCAAAGCTGTGCTTTAGACAGAAGCGTCTGACTGAATGTCGAGAGGTACACGTCGATTCGAACGGCAGTAAATATGATGGAATAGCGGTGGCCAAGAAGCGCAAGGTGATGCCAGAGGTAGGATCGGTCGACTTGGAGAACGCAGAAAAAATCCCGCTGTTTTCCACCATTTTCGACGATGCCGTTTCTGAGGGCGAAAGTCCAACTTCGTCCCTTAACAGTGATGAGGTTTCTTCCTCGTCGCAGAATGATGTTCGCACCAAAGATATAAGAAACCTTACGGCAGTTTCTGGCAGTGACTACTGCAACGGCAGCGGCAGCAGCAGTAGTGATTCCGAAGATAGTGACCTGACCGATGTTGGAACTAAGTGCGAAGCTCGTTCCTTGCCATTGGGAAATATTGCCAGTGCTTTGCCAGGTAAAGGATCACGTCGTTATCTTCCTTGATATTATGTAGTCCTGGATTAATGTTAATTATTATGGTATATTTGTGGTGTATTAAAACAAGCTGTTAAATATTAAATTAAACAATATTGCCAGTAACAGTTTTTTTGTTTCTGATCTGCTATGAAGTATTTTTAAATATGAGATCTTTTTTAACTTAGGGTTTTTTCTTTCTTGACTCTCGGTTTTAAAAGAATGAATTTTCTCACATTTACTTCCATTATAAGGACATGCATTTTCCTGTCATTCACTGCGAAGTAATGTAATATTGTTGACTTTAACTCTATTATGGAAAATTCAGCAAATAGCCTTTTGATGATTTGTACGCTTTTTTCATCCTTGGCTTGTAGATTTTGAGTATTTTTTATATCCTTTTATTCCTTGGATTCAGAGGGAAAATTGTTTTAAGAATATTTTTATGTACTCTTTAGTCGTTTTTTCAAAACCTTAGTTTTTACGCCTAATAAATATATTTTTTTAATTTTTAGAAAATTCATTTTTGTTTATGCCTCCTAACAAGTACGTGTTTCCTGGAGCAGAAGTTTACTTCCAGTCAGATCCCCAAGAGTAGCCTTGTTTGGCGTGGTTCGGTAACTGCGACAGTTATTATA